GCTGAAAATTCAGGTTTATAAAATCCTCAATATAGCATTCTTCTTCTCTTCTTCTTCTTTCTAAAGCCCAAAGGGAAAACAAGGATGGGGAAGCGTCGCTAGATACATATTGCAGAGTTTAAAAAGGCACGTAGGCCTTAGCTTTCCAAAGATGTGAAAAATAGAACATGCTGCAGTGCGTGGCTTTAAGCAAACACTGAGTCCTCGTCTTCTCCCTCGGCCACCAAAAGACGCGACACATGTTTTGTCCGCAAATTTATGGATCCGGAGGCAAACGACAGCGTATTTGACTGACAATAAAACACTTTAACTTGCTTTAGGATTCTGTGAGTGCTGCGTAATTTGATGCCATTCGCATGGCAACGAGACAATTACTCGGAGACATCACTGCATTTGAGGTGGGAGTTGACAAATTCGAATCATTGATTTCGGTCTCCCTGTTCTAGTAGCTTTTTTGGAGGAAACTGACCGACTTTTCCACTCGCTTTTAAAATTGAAAGTAAGTGCTATCCTTGCAGTGCTTAACTGCTATTCTTAAAAATGTCTACTTGCTTATTAACCGGTGTACTTTTTAAAAATTCGCCTACAATTATCATCAGAGTACAGTTTTGAAGTATGGTAGCAATGAGGAAGAGAGGAAGAAATACATTTAATTTTCTTGCATGAGTTCAAACTCGGTCATAGTGTTGCCAAAACAGCTGCCACTTTCAACAGGACATGGAGAAGAGGGTACGCAAATGATCGGGCAGTACAAAGGTGGTTTAATGAATTCCGTAGTGGCAATGGTAGTCATGAATAGAATGTAAGAGACGGCTACGTACTCTTGGCAATCAACTTTGAAAGCAGATGGTAAATAAAAATGAGATTAGAATGTCACAGAAATGAAATCGGACTGAAAAAGACAATGGAGACCAGAATGGCCATTTCTGGCTAATGAGCCATTATCAGCCAGTCATACCTAATTCCAGGTGTGGATCAGCCGGGACTCCGACCCGGAAACTTCGGTCATTGAGTCGAACACTCTATTACCGCACCACGGGCTCGCTACTTTGTCGGTTGAGATCTGTAATGTCTGAGGCACTTTTTGCCAGTATTGGAACGGTGGCCGAGCATCTAATGTAAAATTTGTAAGGTAACTGGGTCCCATATAAACTAAATGAAAGTCTAAGGGTTCAGCGTTTTGCAGTGTTTTCTGCCCTATGACAACGAACAGCCACCTGTTGACACGATGACACAGCACAAACTTAGAGATTTTACCACATACTCCATCCTTTGCCATCTTTCAACCAATGACTACGATTTTTAACCATCCAAACACTTTTACGCAACGAAACTTTCAAAAAATACTTAGTTAGAAGTCGAATTCGAGGGAGTTTTCTAGCACTAAAGCCACTGGAGTTTTAGGCAAGAAGCATAAACAAACTGTACTATATGGAGTGTTTACTTTTTTGCGAACAATGTCTGTTTCAGAAATGGAGGAGTATTTTCCGAACAACCAAGGCCACTTAGAATAAAAGGAAACATCAGGCAAAAAATGGGGAGACGTGCCCCATCGGCCTCTAAAAAAAGATAGTTAAACTGTGGGTAAAAGCCGTGAAAAAAGAAAATCTACACGTCATTTCGGACAGCGCTGAGGACATACCTATAATAGCAAAGTACTCCACGCAGGAAATGTCACGTTACTCCCCGAAAACGGACAGATAAGGATTTCAGCTATGGAAGGTAGGCAAAGAAAAAAAGCACGTGGAGATTGTTGGCCGAGTCACGCGGGCACATTGGGGCATCTGTATGTGCATGAGGGCACGTGTTCGCCGGGGTATGCGACAGACATAATCAACGCAGGACCAATCAGCCGCCTTCCCATTATTTCCCAAAATGTGTTCACCAACATCCAACAGTCTTTGTTTTAAAAAGGGAATATTCTCCGAATAGTTTCAATATTTCCAAATTACAGTGGTAGGGAAGGAAGGAAGAAAAAGTCTGCCGCAATTTAGAAAACGCGCGTTGCCGGCGCAAATTGAAAAGTGGCTAATTCAAGCTGATGATGCACTCTTCTGGCTGCGAGATTTCTCAAGTTTGCCAGAAGTCTGTAAAAATACTAGCTCTTGGAAGGGTTACAAATCGCACTAAGTTCTGACAGATGAATGAAATGCCTTCTTGGCACCAGTGGTCTGTAGCAATGACCATGCTCTTGTCATTTTACCTCGACGAACGAGAACCAGGGGGAGGATGGTGAGTTAGATGGGTCGCCCACATTAACCATAACTCTCTATCCTTAAGCTACCTTATTGGTTCTCTCGCAGATAAACCGGAACAGCTGACAGTTCTGGAGATGTGTAAACGAGATCACAGTGGGATTTATACTGCCATTTTGAGACGCCCATCTTGGAGCAAGAAGACGTCAACGAAATGGATGATGCAGAGGCTTGGATCGAGGATTTCGACAGAAAAAAGGCGAGACA